CCCTCTCTCTCTCTCTCCTCTTCTCCTCCTTCTTCTTCTTCTTCTTCTTCTTCTTCTTCTTCTTCAGATTGGAGACTATCCAGTTGGACAGAGATCAGGGTTGGACTTCGGTGATACGAGACTGTGGTACTTACCTGATTGGAGACTTGGAGATTGTTGAGGTTGATACTCGGCTGCATCACAAGTGGACACCGGTTACATCTGGATTCGGTTATCTCCGACATTGGTGACCTTTTGGTCCTCGACATTTTGATCTTGTTATATGACATTCTGGACTACTATTTCGGAGACCTACCGGACCCTATCTTGTGACCTATCAGTGTGATCTACCTCCTACCTCCTTCGTCTCTCCTCCCACCTTTCATCTGTGCATGTGTGTACGGGATCTGGGTATCTTCTATGTATGACCCAGACCCCACCATCTCATGATTGTATGTGTGTGGAATGATGCCATGTAGGTCAGTCTATGTGAGTCAGTTCGTTATCAGACTTCCGCTGCATAAATGCTCATCCTATATTGGTTGATCTTTGGTTCTGCCCATACTCATTGAAGTATGCAACAGTGGTACTGGGTACAATGCCATCCATCACCGGGATTCAAACTCATGCGTTTCAAGATAGGAAGGAGCTTTTCCGACCTGAAAACCCCTCCCTCCAACTGCCACCCCCTTCTCCCCCACTCTCCTCCCAACTTCCCCCCACTCCCATATCTGACATACCAAAGTAGACATATCCAGTGTTTTTTTTTTTTTTTTTTTTTTTTTTTTTTAAGACGGACATCCAAGCTTTAGATGAAATGATTCTTTAGGGTTATACTTCCATTTGTGCACATTTCTAAAATAACTTTAAATAACCAGTTCACTTTTCCAATTTCCTTCTTCTTTCTTTCTTTCTTTTTTTTTTCCCCCTCCTCTTTCTATAAAGGATGTGCATCATAAAGAACTCGCACAACGGTGTTGGGGGTGTTGGGGGTATGACGGTGTTGGGGGGGTGTATGGGGGTATTGGGGGCAGGTATGGGGTGTTGGTGGGGTTGTTGGAGGGTTTCTGGACCCAAAAACAATTCTTTTTTTTTTTTTTTTTTTTTAGGGTTGCCGACGACCTTTGACCGGTAGGTGCGGACCAGTCGGGGTATGCAACACTGTGAAGAAGTCAAAAACATGGGCGAAAAAAAAATTGTTGGCAGCCGGGTCACCAGCCCATACGTACGGAGGTCCCCGGGCCGACCTCCGTACATACGGGCGTTCGGGGTCCCGTTCGGGGTCCGAACCCGAAGACGTTCGGCCCCCGCCAAAAACTATTTCGGGGCCTAAAAATAGGTCTTTTTTCTGGATTTTTTTTGTGCGAGTTCTTTATGATGTGAGGTACAGGCCTATAAATTTTGAAGTCATTTGGCTAAGCCAAACAAAAATTAAAAATCGCCAAAGATGGCAGTGTCAAAACGTGCTTGCCCACTCACTATTTTGTTTTTTTTTCATTTCTTACTTTTTGTTTTCAGTTTCTTGCAGGGCCTAAACAATTTTATTATTTTTTGAAAATGTTTTATCGAGTTTTGTAGTATGTGAAGTACACATCTGTAAATTTTCAGGGCATTTGGCTGTGCCAAAACAAAATGAAAAATCGCCAAAGATGGCAGTGTTCAAAACGTGCTCGCTCACTCACTAATTTTAATTCTCTTTTCATTTTTTCTTATTTTTCTTATATTAGTTTATTTTCTGTATTTTATTTTTACTTCAAATTTGGTAGGGAATTCGGATGTTATGCTCAGGCAAATGTTGTTTATTTTCTGTTTCTTCATAACATTTTTTTTTCAGATTTTTCTGAATTGTTTTTTTTTTTTTTGTTCCGCGTTCGGCCTGAACGGCCGAAAGCATGCCCAAGGGGGCTCGTACGTTCGGGCGTTTGGGTTCGGGCGTTCGGCCCGTCCCGAACGCCGGTTACCCTGGTTGGCAGGGTTATTGGGGGTTCTGGACCGATCGGCTGGTCGGCGGCAGCAGTCAAGGGACGCTGACCAGCCGGGGTATGCAACACTGTGAAGAAGTCAACAACATCGGCGAAAAGAAAGTTGTTCGTGGGGTTATATTGGGGGTTCTAGACCGGTCGGCTGGTCGGCAGCCGACCAAGTCGACGGGCGCCGACCGTCGGGGTATGCAACACTGTGAAGAAGTCAAAAACATCTGCCAAAAAAAAAAAAAAAAAACCACGTCAATACGGACCTCGTAGAAAAGCATATTGTACTCGCTGAGATCGCCATGAACTAGTCTACATTTCTGATACAGAGTGCGCATCGCACAAATCACCTGAACAGCACAAGAACGAGGTAACAAGCGAGAACAGTGGTTAGAACGACAACGGTCAGTCGTTGCGGGATCCGGCGACAGGGAAGAAACAACAGGAATCATTTTCAAAAAACTGTGTGAAGTTGTAAGCCAACCACACTATGACAGCAACTATTGCCTAGCACTCCCTGCCAGGCCCCATCAGTGCTATGTCCATCCTTAGAATGGATGAATTCCACCATAAAGCCAGCCAGGTTCGTTTTAGCATGGCTGACATCTGAACACCACACACACACACACACACACACACACACACACACACACCACACACACCCCCACAC